ACAAGGACACGCAAGCTTATTTTAAACTAGTTTAACTTGAAAAAATATATATTATAAAACATTGTATGTTTTAGTTCTTTTTCCAAAAGTGAAATCAGAATGTTGCTTGGTTGAAGTTATGTTTTTATCACACACTTTCATACTCTGATGGATGCATCAGAGAGCAACTTGGAGGTATACAGACTAGAGCAGCCAGGACTTGAACCGTCACTCTCCCAATCAGTAGATGACCTGTGCTACCTCCTGAGCTACAGCCACCCCGACATGGCTACAAAGAGATATAAAACCTCCTCGCAGATGTTGAAAACAACCACCTACAGTGAGAAAGCAACCATTGTATTCTCTCGTTATTTATTTATTCATTTATTAGATGGAACTGAGCTGGTGTTCTGTGCTTAGTTATCAGTCTGTTTGTTTTTGTTTTTTGTTTTTTGTTTGTTTTTTATTTATTTATTTATTTTTGGTTCTGAATTGTACCCTTTATTATGTTATGTAATTATGTACTATTTGTGGAAACAGAACTGATACTAACTAATAAATATATAAAAAATATATATTTAAAAAAGAGAAAGCAACCAAAAAACAAATAATGACCATAAAGATGTATAAAAGTCAGAATTACTACAACAGAAGCTAAAAAAAAAAACTATAAAGAGACACAAACATCCAGTGGAAATATTTAATATTCAGTCGACTGACACCAAAAAGCTGGCAAATCCAAACAACCATAACGTTTAACATCTTAACGCAAAGACATGTATGACGATTGTTTTAGGCTAAGTCTAGGTTTAGACCATCTAGGTAAGGTGATGGTTAGAGAAAGCCTTCAAAAATAATGTTGTCTAACTCATAGATACACAACTGTGTGTTTTGTCAGTGTGCACACATGGGTTTGTATGTGTATGTGTCAAAGAGAAAGTGTGTAAGTGGCTGCGCTTGCTTTAATGTGAACAAAAATGAAGGGTATGGCAAATTAGAGAATGCATCTGCCTGGCGTCTGAATAACAAATAACACCATTAGGGAGACAGGGGTGTTCTCTGCCAGGTCCTGCAAGATGAATGGCTGTGTCACTGCCTCATACAAGCGTAGTCACACAAACACACACACTGCAATACACAATCGTGCTGTCATACCTGTGGATGATTAAAGTGTAAAAGGTAGCAATCAAACCTTCAAACTGGTCTGTTTACCATTTCGCTGTTCTGCCTGCGTAGGCTTATGTCAGCCTGCCTCACTCTGTCCTATTTTCACACTATTTTTCCAGACTCAGAGGCTCTCTATTAACTAAAGTCCTAACAGTTGTATTTTAAAGAATGTATTTATTATGTTAAACCTACATATATCGTGTTGAAACAACACATTCAAGATGGATTAATATAACATGATTTGTTTAGATGGAATATAAGTGGCAAGATAAAATTAC